CACGCACTCAGCTTCGTCCGGCTGAGGAAAGGGGACCTCAGGCCTGTGGGGGCTTCCATAATTATATTTGGCCAAAATTACCAGACCTGTGTTTGTTTGAAACATGCTAGTATTTCTAGGTAAGCCAGTTTTGTTCTGAAAGTGTGAAATTAGAGTAGTTTAAAAATTTAATCAGAACAGTATTAGAAACTGGTTACATACATAGCTACCCACACAGTTGATTTCTTGAACTAACCTCAGAGTCTGTAGTTGGTTAAAAGCACTGCTGTATTTTTCCTTTGTTTTGTTAAGTTTGGTAGAATATTGATAAAGCAGGGAATATTTTTAGCCATTTACTTGTGAGTACAGAAGGTAACTCGACTGAAGGTGAGGCTGTGTGCAAGACCCTGCGGTCAGGTTCCCAGGCTGCAGCCAGCACAGTTCCTCACAGGCCGCCTGTGTGGGAGGCCAGCTTCCTTCCTTCCACACCATAATGTGTGCTCACTGACAGATGCAGGGGATCTCATGCCCCGAGCTGGGTACTGTGTGCCACACACATTTGGTTCTGCTCAGGGACAGAACCTTCTGGGGCTTCTGTGACGCATGGTCTCGACGAGTTGTCGCTCTGTGGCCAGTCAATGCAGGAGCTGTGCGGTGCGCGCTGGGCCTTGCTGCAGCTCCCCTCCCACCTAGAGGCTCTGGGTCCTGCTGACCCACGTGAGGCTGAGCATGGGCCAGCGTGAGCACGTGTCTTGTTCTGCAGGAGGCCCTCAGGTAAGTGTGTGGAACCCCCACCCCCTGAGCGGCTGCCTGCTGTGGTTTTACGGGGCTGGCTGGAAGGAAGGGAAGTAGCTCACATACACGGCAAAACTAGAAGCCACCTCCCAAAGTCACCTGTTAATACGAGCCTGAAGGCCTGGAGCCAAGCTGTCTTCATGGGGCCCTCCCCCCCCCACCAGCTCCTTAGAGCAGGTTCACTCTCCTGTCGGGCTGGCCTTGTGAGGACACTCTGCAGGCCCGCACTGGGTGGACACGAAGCGAAACCTATGAGTTGTCTTAGGGGCCTTGGCTGCACCAACAAGAGCTTGGCCGGACGTGGGCTCATCCTGCCCTGAGTGGGGATGGCGCGTCCACAGATGGGTGGGCAGGGCCTGGAATTGTTGAAATGGACCCATGACGTAGCAGTAACTTTAAAGGGGTTCTGGCTGGCTTATAGGGTGGTTTCACATTTCTTCTCTACATTCGTTCCTTTCTCTCCTCAATAGTCAGTGTTCCATAATTTGAAAGTTATAATTTAGGACAAATAGATTGGTAGGAAATTTTAAGAATTCAATAGAAAATATGAACTTTTGGTAGTATTGGCTGGGCCCAGAGTCAGTGAAGTTATAAGTCTACATTTTTCTTGTGTCAGATGTTGAAGCAGAATTTCTTGGTGAATATCTTTTCCTAGAATACATATTCTTATGGATTATGATAAAGGAGCTCTTGTTAAACCTAACTATGGTGATGACATTTCCATTAATTCTGAGAATATATTTAGGATAACATACCACACATATTTTCGTTAAGAACGGCAGTTATGTTTTAGTTGAGAGATCACATTAACATATCTCCATCAGTTTATTGATTTTTACAATTTTATTAACAAAAGCCAGTATGATGTGGAAGTAGAAGGTGACTTTTCTTTACTTTTAAGTCCAGTATTATTTAAATCTCATTTCAGCTGTAGTTTGCGGTCAAGAGTTTAGGGGAGAAAGGGAATAAGCTGGTGAGAGAGTTTTGCTGAATTTATTTTCAGCTTCACCAGTGAAAGGACCCGAGACACTGAAATCTTCAGATGTTTAGTTGCTTTTCAGAATTTTAATTTTGAACCAACTTGAGACTTAAAAGAGAGTTCCGGAAGAGTAAGAAAGGCTCCTGTGGGCCCACCAGCTCCCCTCGTGTTATCTCCAAATGGACCCACAGTGGGAAATGCACGCCTGTAGTATCTCACCTGCAGCCAGTGTGTGGTGGTGGGCTGTTGGGGGCGTCATGGCCAGGGCCCACCCCAGACTCAGCGTGGGGGATGCTGCCCTTGGTCCCCTGGTTGAGGTGGGGCCTGTCAAGCTACTGGGATTGTCTTCACTGATGCGGGACGCATGTTCCCAGGACACCTGGAGACCACGTGCTCCCTGCTCTGACCACCAGTGTCCACGCCTGTCTGTGGGTCTTGCCTGCGACAGGTGCATGGCGGCCAGCAGCTGCTCTCTTGGCTGTTCTCTCATAAGGAAAAGGCATTCCCTCTCCCCTTTTCACCCACTGCATCGTCTGTTGATGTCTGTGGGCTCACGGAGGTCTCATTTACCCTTGGGATTTAACCCTTGGGCCTGTCGTCTAACACTTGCTGATTATGCTGTGCAGATGGCTCTACCTTTGGCCATTGGGAGTGGTTTCATGTTGGCTGCTGTGTCCTTTCAACGGGACTCAGACTTTTATTTTTTTGAATTCTTTCTCACTTTCTAGCATGACAGGATTCTCCAGGCTTATCTTTTGTTCCCTTGGCCCAGCCCTGACATCAGCTGCTGCCAGGGGTTTGTGTTGAGATCTGAGACCTGGACTCTGCTTACACTCTGATACACGAATGCCAACCAAGTGTGCCTCCAGCCCGAGTCCCTGCGTCGGTGTGGACCTTGCAATGCCAGCCCAGCTGTCCCAGCTCTCTCTCCTGCTCCCTCTCCCTCCTCCTGGCTCTCGTTCTCGGCTGTGTCTTTACTCGTCCACGTGCAGTGGTTCCAGAGCTGCTAGCCCACCCAGCCTGTGAGGAGCACATCTCCTCACCTGCCCTGTCGAGGGTTCCACAAGCTGGCCCCTGCTGTGGTGCTGCTCTGTGTAACAGGCGCCTTCCCTTGACTGTCGGTCCCCACTTCCTGATGGGTCCTTGACATTTGCTGCAGTGAAGTTCCCTCCTCTGTGCACCGTTCTGTGGGTTTTGGCAGATTCAGAGTTGGGTGCCACAGGTACGATCCCAAGCAGAAGTTCTGTCTTTCCTGCGTCCTCCACTCTGCCCTGGGTCGTTAGCCACCCTGCCCCCTGGCCACCACCACACTGGCTTTGCACCCTATAGTTTTGCCTTTCTAAATGTCTTCTGTATGGACACATAGAATATGTGGACTTCCCGTTTAGCAAAAGGCACGTAGCTTCACCTGGGTTTTCTCATGAGGTGATGCTTCATTCTTACTACACAGGAGGATTTCGCAGTGTGGGTGTGGAGGTCACTTGTCTGACTCAGGTCTCAGTGGGCTAGAACCAAGGTATCGGCAGGGCGGGTTCCCTCTGGAGGCTCCGGGGGAGAATCCGTTCCTCGTCCAGCTTCTAGAGGCTGCCATGTTCCTTGGTTTGTGGCCCTTCGTCCACCTTCACAGATGGCAGCTTCGGGGCAAGTCCTCAGGCTGTGTCTCTCGGGGCTCCTCTGCCTCCTGCTTCCAGTCCCAGGGCCTTTGTGACTGTGCGGGGTCTATCGGTGTAGCCTCCCTGACCAGCACCTGCAGCCTTAACTGCCCTCTGCCGGGTAATGCCGCATGTTTGCAGGTTCTGGGGTCAGCGCCTGGACATCTGGGCCAGGGGGCATTGATCCGCTTCCACTCGGTATTGAGAGACGTGGAGCAGCTGGAGGGATTGGTTGGATTTAGGAGGTCGTTGTTTAGGCTGGAAGAGCTGGGAAATGTGGATGTGCCGATGGGATGTCCCAGGGTTTTGGAGGGAGGAAGAGGATTGAGATGTAGAAATAGGAGTGGGTCGCGTCAGGCCCTCAGCTATCGGGGCAGACGGGTGATGTCACTTTGAGGTGGCCTCTGTGTGTCTGAAATACCCCTCTGCCTTTTAAAAGATTTTATTTATTTATTTTTGCAAGAGAGAGAGAGAGAGAGAGAGAGCAAGTGAGCACGAGTGGGGGAGGGAGAGGCAGAGGGAGAAGCAGACTCTCCACTGAGTGAGGATCCCGACATGGGGCTCCATCCCGGGACCCTGGGATCATGACTTGAGCTGAAGGCAGATGCTTAACCGACTGAGCCACCCAAGTGGCCTGAAATACCCCCTTTTAAAAGCATTTTCTTTCTTTCTTTCTTTTTTTTTAAAGATTTTTATTTATTTGACAGAGAGAGAGACACAGCGAGAGAGGGAACACAAGCAGGGGGAGTGGGAGAGGGAGAAGCAGGCCTCCCGCTGAGCAGGGAGCCCGATATGGGGCTTGATCCCAGGACCCTGGGATCACGACCTGAGCCGAAGGCAGATGCTTAACGACTGAGCCACCCAGGCGCCCCTTAAAAGCATTTTCTTAAGGCTAATAGGAGATGCAAGTTCTCGAGTCATTCTTAGAACCAACGCTCTCTCCACTCCTGCCCCAAATCCTTTGTTTTCTGTTAACTAAAACCACATAAAGTCAAATGAGTGCTTTCTGTTTTATCAGTAATAATTAAGTGTGATGACCTAATGAAGAGGGGTTTAAATGAAGTCTGATGAATGTTATGAGCTTGGAAAAGGCTTCCTTTTCTCCTGGCACGGTTGTGGTTGGCCATCTGGAGGGCTTTACGTGACCTGATAGCTGTTTTTTACACTTGGTTGGGTTTCTGAGAAGGGGCAGGGCCTAGGGGCTCCACTGGCTGCCCGTGCATGTCCCTGTGTGCTCCCTGTCCATCTTGGGGAGCTCTTGCCTGGGCCCGAGAGTCCATGTCCGTGTCCATGTCGGCCCTGCCTGTTTGCTTCCCCGCTCCCCCCAGGCACTGCTGATTCTCGCCCTCTGGGCACCCCCAGAGCAGGGCTGAGCACATTCTGCCTCCCACGCCCCTGTGCATGGCAGCCTTCCTCCCTGTGGCTTCCCTGCACGCCTCACGTGGCTCTCGGTGGACCAGGGTCAGCCACCCGTGGTGCTGGGAACTCGCTGCACACAGCACGCACTGAGCAAGAGGGAGAGGCCTCTAAGTCCTGTAACAGGGTCTGTGTTCTTTCACAGATTTCCTTTTAACCATTTTCCCTCTTTTTCACAGCGCTCTGGTGATTGCCACAGTGTTTGACCGAAACATAAACTGCAGGAGAGCAGCCTCTGTGAGTTTTCTTGTTTTGTTCCTTTTCCTGACGGTGGGGTGGGCTCTGACCCGTGCCCTGGTCTGCTGAGCAGGCCGCACACTCCTGGATGCTGCCCGTGTGTGGTGCCTGCGAAGCCACCTGGCGGAATGCCAGCTCACATTTCCTCCCAGTTTCAGGGGGAAGGGAGTGGTCTTTAGCCTGTGAAGCGGGGTCAGGATGAAATGCTCCACCCCCAGCATGCCCAGAAATGCAGCCGTCTCGAGCATCATGCCTGCTGACCAGACACGGCTCGAGGTAGCCTGTGCTCTGGGGAAGGAGAAGAAAGTGTGTTCTGGGCGTGTGGCCTGAGTGTGACGGCCGCGCAGGTGGCTTTGAGCCTCAGGAGGAGTTGCTGCCAAGCAGAGGTCAGCTCAGCTTCACATGGTTGTGCTGGGCCTGGAGCCTCACTGGACGTGCCTGGCGGCCCCAGTGCCCCTTCATGTATTTGAACACCAGTGCCTAGCCCCCCAGAGCCTGGTCATGTTTGGGGTGGATTCTGTGTGTAGAGAGCTTTCAGCAGGCTACACAGTTGCTTCCGAAGGGCACTGACCAGGAGTCTGCATGAACATCCCACTGCGTCTCCAACAGAGCTGGACTGTGGCCCCGAGCTCTGCTTCAGGGGTTCCTGTGGATGCCAGTAGAGATGATGGCTGCCGGGCCTTGTCCCTGGGATACTTGCTGGTGATGTCCATGGCTGTGTCCTGCCTTCACACAGGGCTGTCTTACTGATGGCCAGTCACTTAGATCACGCTCAGACATGGGCTGGTGCAGGTGCTGAGGGACCAGAAGCCAGGGCCAAGAGTCCCTTCAACAGCAGAGCCTGGTGGCTGAGGTGACAGACCGTCTGGAGATGGGAGACTTAGTTTCGGGTACAGACAAACAACTCCCCAAGCTTTAAGAGGTAAAGAATGGACATGGACGGAACGGCCGTGCTTTGAGAAAGATGTGGGGTGTGGCTGGTTGTGGCTCGTGGGAGAGGTGAAGCCAGGAGGACCCTGGTGCTGGCCAAGGTTTGGTTTCTGTGTGGTTCGGGTTAGCGGGAGACCTGCAGGAGGAGGGTCCAGCCTGAGAGGCACTGGGGCCTGGGAGGGTTTTCTGTGAGCCCTCTGGATTGTCAGAAATGGGGGTATAGGGGACTTGAATGTGTTCTGTGGGTAGTTGGGCTGAGGGGTCGGATTGAGGGCCCCCAGCTGGGACGTGGAGAGAGCTGCCCACCTTGCCCCGGGGGGCCCCTCAGGCTGAGCCTTCCTGGCTCAGAAATGGGTGAGCCCCAGGGGGACAGGTGGGTGAGCGTGGGAGGGCCTTGCTCTGGAGGGCTCTGCCCACAGACAGGGGGGCTGAAGCTGATTTTAGGTGTCCAGAGGGGAACAGACACACGCTTTTAGGGATCGGTCGTAGAGAGAGGGTGGAGGAGGCATCTGTACCCCATGGCCTGGTCCAGATGGAGGTTGTGTGAGTTTGTGAGACAGATGAGGAGGAGGAGGAGGTGTCTGCTAGAAGAAACTGAGAGCCACTCGTTGAAATCCACATTTAGGATTTGAACACTCGCTTCAGTAAGATTATTAACAGTTAATGGAAAAAGATACCGAGGAGGAGATTCTGACTGGTGAGAGAGGGCAGAGGGCGCAGGTCAGCAGTTAGGCTTGTGCCTGGCTGGTTCAGAGGTGAAAGATGTGACTCGAAGGCAGGACCATAGGTGTGCTCAGACTACCTTCGGCAGGTGATGCATTGCCGTAAGATGTGGGATTTGGGAGAATCAGCACCATGCTGGGCGTGCTCCCACGTGCTCTGGGGACACGTTTTTGGGATTGTTAGTGTCACACTCAAGCTGGGACAGTGCAGGCTGGAGTGGCTGGGGGCCAGGGAAGGACCTGGCTTAGGCGGGGAAGGCTGGGTGGTGGGCAGTGGCGTGGCCACACAGATGAAGTACCCACATGCACAGTTCCTGAGAGGGGTGGGCACTGCTGGGTCAGTTGCACTTGGTTCCTGCTGCTCCTACAGAAAGTCAGCAGTTCTTTCCCACGGAGGGGAAGCCAGGCCAGGCAGCACTCGGCCACAGCTCCGTCAGGGATATTGGACTGTCATTTCCGTCTGTTGTGATGTTTTTGTATGGCTTTGGAGTTAGGGTAGTCTGGCCTCACGAAAGGAATTGGGAATATAAAATCTTCCTCTTGTATTTTGTACAAGAAGCTTTAAAAGCTTGTCATGGGGTGCCTGGGTGGCTCAGTCGGTGAAGCGTCTGTCTTCAGCTCGGGTCGTGACCCTCAGGGTCCTGGGATTGAGTCCCGTGTTGGGCTCCCTGCTCCGCGGGGAGCCTGCTTCTCCCTCTCCCTCTGCCCCTCCTCCCCACTGCTCATGCTCTCTCTTTCTGTCTCTCAAGTGAATAAATAAAATCTTTTTTTTTTTTAAAGATTTATTTATTTGAGAGAGTGAGAATGAGAGAGAGAGAGAGAGTACATGATGGGGGGAGGGTTAGAGGGAGAAGCAGGCTCCCCGCTGAGCAGGGAGTCCGATGCGGGACTCGATCCAGGGACTCCAGGATCATGACCTGAGCCGAAGGCCGTCGCTTAACCAACTGAGCCACCCAGGCGCCCCATAAATAAAATCTTTTAAAAAAAGGTTGCTATTTCTTTTTTTTTTTTTTTTTTTAAAGATTTTATTTATTTATTCATGAGAGAGAGAGAGAGGCAGAGCGAGAAGCAGGCTCCCAAGGAGCAGGGAGCCCGATGCGGGACTCGATCCCAGGACCCTGAGATCATGACCTGAGCCGAAGGCAGACGCTTAACCATCTGAGCCACCCAGGCGCCCTATTTCTTTGTTTCTACTTTAAATGTTTGGTGGAAATCATCAGTGAATCCAACTGGGCCTGTTTTTTTTGTTTTTTCTTGTTTCTTTGGGAGTATTTTGTTATTAATTCAGTTCGTGTAGCTTGTCTTTTTTCTAGTGAAGGAGCTTCTCTGTCCATCTAAGCTGTCAGGTGCAGCGACAGGACATGGGGGGCAGTGCTCCATCTGCCACTTCTCACGCTGTGCTCTGTCCCGTGTCACCATGAGGATGGTTGGCGCGGCTGTTGACACATGGCGGGTGCTCCACAGATGGGTGTTTCATGAATGGGTGACCATGGACCCAGGGACCAGCGTGGTACCTGCTCCCTTTGCTTGGGATGATGCAGGTGGAGCGTGGGCCTCCCTCGTGTGTGGGAGCTTGGTCGGAGTGTCTCCCGTGACCCCAGACAGGGCCTGTCTGACTGCCTGCTCTCTGTACCCCCAAACAGGTCTGATATAAGAGGTACTTGGCCTCAGGCCCTTCAAAGTTTTGTCTCAAGAGAAAGTTGGCCAGCAAAGCCAGTCTCTTCTGTGTTCATGCAGCTTTGTTTCTTTTGTCTGGAGCGTCAGTAGGAAGCCCCTTGATTCCTTGAGAGGCCTTCACATTTCTGCCCTGACATTCACTTGAAGGCCATAATCATAAGACACTTTCAAACACAATGATGATTTTTTGTTAAATCTGGACTTAAAAAGTAGCTTTTATATTTTCTTTCTTGTTTCTTGTAAAGTCAAACATTTTAATGGGAAGCAGTAGTAAAATCAAAGCACTGACACCTTTATAAACCCTGAGGAAGGGGTGAAAAAACCCAGAAATCATTTTGTTTGTTTGTTTTTCAAGTTAGAATTAAAATCCTTCAAAATTAGCAAGAGATTCTTTGCATGAGACATCATCTATATATGCCTACTTACCTAGCAGCTGCAAAATTAAAACAGTGAGGGTAAAAGATGCATTTGTTTAAAGCTCAGGATTGAGTAGGTGATAACTTGGAATGAAATCTCTTACTGTGGAGCTGCCTCCTCAGATAAAAGCATGTTCTGCCCTTTCTGGCTCCTCACGTTTCACGCTCTCCTTGCTGGGTCACTCACTCCCTGCTGAGGTTAGGAGGGCCTGGGCCCGGTCGCTTGCCCAAGGACGAGGTCACCCTGCCCACCCAGGACCACAGGGCTACCGGGAGCATGTGGGCGCAGAGAGGGTTTGAGCTGCTGTGTCCCTTCAGACCCTTCCTCTCCGGCCTGTGGTTCACGTGCCGCCACTTCCTGCCTGCACTGTGGCGATGGGCGTCCAAGTCCATGATGGTGATGGTAGAAATGCGAGTTTGCCAGGCCCTGTGGGGCCTTGGTGAGTGCTGTGTTCGGTCTTCACAGCAACCCTGTGAGGATCTGGGGGGGTGGCGGAAGGGAGGCCTGACTGATTGATTAGGGTAAACACATTTGTGAATCGTGTAGCTGTTCAGTGTTCATTGCTCTCCACGTTGGAAGGTACCCACCCAGCCCGCAAATGTGTCGACATTTTGAGAAGACTTGTCCCCAGCCGGGAAGGAAGGAGTGGTGCCGATGGGCGGCCCCGTGCTTCCTCATGGGAGGGTCAGGGTGAGGAGGGAGAGGGAGCCTGGGAGCCTTGCTTCATCTGCAGTTACACTAAATCTCCTTAAAGCCCACATTTAGCTAAAAGCTGTTTGGCGTCTAAACCCCTATGTTACTACTTTCTGACTTTCTGTGTTGATGTTGCCTGGATGGAGTCATACAGCGTGTGACCCTCAGGACTGGTGTGTTCCTCGCAGGTGCGTCCAGGCTCTGGCTGGGCCGACAGTTCCCTCCTGCTCCTTGCTGGTCGGCTCCTGGTGACGGCAGAACCGCAGTCGCTCCGACTGTTTGCACGTTGTAGGAGCTTGGGTTATGTCTGGTTTTGCACTCTTTTAAGAATTAAGCTGCTGTGAACATTCGTGTCCAGGTTTTTGTGCGAACGGCGGTGGTTGCCTGTTTAGCCCTGTGTTCAGAGGGGCTGTGCCGTTTCACCTTCCCACCGGCAGCCTGTCCGGGATCCCGTCGTCCTGCAGCCTCGCCAGCATTCTGTGTTCGTTCTGTGGTCCTGTCGGCCGTGTGGTGATGCCTCATTGTGCTTTTAAGTTGCCTTTCTCTGGTGGCGAGCACCTCTCCGTTGTCCTTGCCCCGTGCCTCCCCTTTGCTGAAATGTCCGTTCAAGCCTCCTGCCGTTTGCTCGTTGGCTGCTGTGTGTACTGTTGAGTGTGCTTCAGATGCGAGGTGCCGCCTTCACTGGTGTGTGGCTCCTGGGCTCGGCTCCCGGGCTGTGGCTTCTGTCCTCCTGACAAGGCGTCTCACAGAGCAGGAGTTCTAAAGTTTGATGTGACCAGCTTGTCAGTTTTTTCCTACGTGGATCGTGTTTTCAGTGTCCACCCTCAGAATTCATGGCCTGGCCCTCGGTCCTAAAGGCATTCTGTTTTTCCATTCTGTTCCGCCCTTCTCTGTGTCTGTCCTCTGTGTCTGCGTGCAGTCAGTCGCCATGCTGAGGACAGCCATCCCTCCCCTCTCTTCTTCAAGACTGCTTTACCTCTTCCAGGGTTGCATTTTTCTGTCAGTCTTGTATTATTTTTTACCTTCTTGATGTCATCAGAATGGTAAATATGTTCCTAAATTTTGCTTGTTATGTAAATTGACACTATATCATATATCCGTTGCTTATTGGTTGGTTTCTTATTTTCTTTAACAAATTTATTGCAAAAGGTTCAAAATGGTACGTAGAGAAAATCGAGTCTTCCTCCTCCCGGTTTGAAAAGCTATGGGAGGGCCATGGGTGAAATGCCCGTTTGCTGTGCCTGGAGGAGACCACCCTGCTTCTGATTTTTGGGGGGACCCGCCTGAGATGCTGGCCAGGGGCAGACTCGGGGCTCTGTGCTTGGGTTTCTCAAGTTCCTTTCTGCACACCTGCATGTACTCCCTCTCAGTGCCCTGTAAGGTACACAGTGAACTGCCCCCAGCGGCTCTGTCCAGGAGAAGGGGCCGCATCTGTGGGCAGGGCACCCTCCCAGGGCTGCCCTGACTTCGGACCTGTCACGTGCTGACCACGTGGCCGTGCGGTTGCGGCCCATGCTGCTGTGCTCGATGTCCTGCTCCGTTGGGGAACTCTGAGCCCGCTGCTTTGGGGAGAGTGGGGTCGGGAGCCAGCTGGGTGGTAGATGGGAAAGGAGGCACTGCCCATCGTCCACTGGCCCTGCCGTTGTTACCGTGCCGAGGGCCTGGCTGTCACACCCCCGCAGAGCAGGCGGAGGGATGGGAGCCACCAGCGAAGTGAACAGGCATTTTAAAGAAAGCACCTGAAGACACTTCATTCTAAGGGAGTATTTTGAGCACTGGGCCTGTGTTGGAGGCTCAGGGCTTGTCCGTGATGGCTCGTGGGGAAGGCAGAGGGAGGAGGTGGGCCATTTATGTTCACCGTTGCGAGCTGCTATGACAGAGTTCCCAGGGAAGGGTCTTGTGTTGGATTTGATTTAACGGACTGATTTGACTCTGTTCTCATGCCTCTGTCTAGGGCCTTGAATTAGGCATCAGTGAGAAGCTCGGCGTCTGCATCTAAAGGACACTTTTCAGGATGTGTCTGATTTTATAAACTTGAATTGTGGTTTAAAAAAGCACCAGGACCTAGAGACGGAATGACAACTACCCTTGAGGCTCTGATCAGCCAACAATGAGGACTTTTATTTAAAAAAATAAAGCCATGGGTCATTTGTGCATCTGGCGTTTGTTTTGAATCTCTTTCCTGATGTTTAGCAAAGCGCAAACCTAACTCACCTGCTCTGTTTGTTCTTCTTTTCCTTAGGCTGCTTTCCAGGAGAATGTGGGAAGACAGGTATGGCTACTTCTTGAAGTCTTCGTTCCTAAAACTTCCTGTAGTTTTAACAGTAGAAATACCGAAAGCTGCAAACTTGGTATCTCCTTGCATTGTTAGATGAAGGTAAAGAATTTACCTAGAGTAAGCTGATATTTAACTCAGTCACGTCTGGTCACAGAACCGCTTATGATGTTATCCAGGGGAGAGTTGACACAAGTTTTAAACAGTTAGTACTGTGTTTTATGGTAAACTCGAATGTGTAAGTAATTTCACACATACACACACACATCAGAGCTCAGTACCTTATGCATTGCCACCTGGTATTAGCAGTTAGTTGCCTGTGGGTGCAGGAGGGATGTGGGTGGAGGAGCCAGGCTTCTCAGGGACAGAGATGTGATCACTGCCCATCCTACGTGTGGTAGGAGCCAGCTTCTGGAAGCCATTGACCCTGTGGCCTCTCTCTGTGCTCACCAGCACCATCGTCCCCCCTAGTCCTGAACCTCTCATGACTGGTCAGCCTTGGCTGTGGGGTGTGGTCCTTATCACCGAGTCATTCACTCTGTGTGAGCCGGTGGCCATACTGGGACATGTGGTTGGCCTGAGGAAGAATGGGCTGGAGGCGGGTCATGTTGGGGGAACACTGAGCTGAGCTCTGTTCAGCGCCCCAGGAGGAAGGTCTGGGCTGAAGAGGAGTATATTGTGGGCGAGGGCATCAGCAGGTGGTGCTGGGGGACAAGAAGAGACAGTGATGGGCATCTGGGCCTTGGGGCTCAGAAGTCAGGCTGCAGGGCCCAAGGGGAGCCCCATGTAGAAAGCTTGCTCAGCAGCGGGAAAGGCAGGCCTCAGAGAGGGAAGCCTCCGGTTAAACACAAGCATTCTAAGACTTGGTGTTGGGGTGTTTGGGAGGAAAATGTCCTTGTAGGTGCCCCCTATGTCCGTGAGGGTCCTTGTTGCAGAACCTGGGGGCCTGGGTTCTGCATGCTGGGTCCACCATCTCCCGGTTTAGTTACCGTTCTCCTGGGCTGCCAGAGGCCAGGGTGAGGGCTGACCCTTCCGCTTCCACGGGGGAGGCGACCTTTGGTTCTTGGTGGGAAGTTCTCCCAGAATCGGCCCAGGGAGGCCATCCAGTCTTGCTTCCACAGCTGGCTGCAGGGCACGTGCTGCTCTGTGCTTCATTCTCCTCTAGCACCTCTGCCTCCTCAGGGTCTGTCCCTTTCTTCCCTGGCTTAAAGGTGGCTGACACCTTTGGGTGTCACTTAGTCCACGTCCACCTGGGGCCCTGGAAACTTAGAAGACGGTGGCTCCCTAGGAGAAGACAGCTGACCTCTGAAGGGGACCAGCTTCAGTGTGTCAGGGCCGCGAGTGTGGAGAGCTCCAGAAGGCAGTGCTGCGCTGGCAGAGGAAGGGGTTGGACAGGCATAGGGGGTGGGTGGGCAGGCCGCTGTAGTCAAGGAACCTGCTGGAAGCTGAACTGAGGGGCTCTGGGCACCCCAAAGTCAGAGCCCAGGAGAAAGAGGCATCTCCCCACCCCTGGCTTCCAGCCTGCCGTGGGCAGAGCTCTGTTCCAGACACAAGGTGGTCTGGAGCAGGGGTGCTGTTGAGTCTTGGCCGTCGCCGTGTCCCGTTTGGTGGGGACACTCGGGTTGGGTGGACAGTCAGGGAGAGGAAAGGGGTCTAGGTTTAGGGGATCAGCGGGAGCCGGTGTTCCGGGGGTGTCCCCCCCCCCCCCGTCCTGATGTTTGCTGTGAAACCAGCATACACATAGCACAGGGTGCAGGGGGGTTGTGCAGCTGTTAAAGAGACACAGACTTTGAAAGAAGTAGAGTCAGGTGGGCCCAGGGTGCCCCCCAGCCCTGCACACGGCAGTGTCCTACTGTTTGGTGGGAACGTTGGAGAAGAAGGATGTGAACTTGCCAAAGCAAACAGGGTCGCACTCAGGGGAGGGCATATAAACTCCCTGACTTGGCATGAGGTTATTAGTGATGTTTGTGTGTTTGCGAGAATTCCCAAAATGTGACCCACAGGCTTGAGGTGCGCAGATGGTGCTGGGAAAATGGCGCCGACAGACTGGCTCACAGGGTTGCCACGAACCTTCCGTGTGCAAAACGTGCAGTATCTGGGATGCGTGTTGAATCGGGGGTGCCGGTACCGTTGAAACCTGGTTTGCTTGCTGGTTTTTATGGTGTGGGTGTGAGTCTCCTAAACATTTTAAAATTGAAAATGTTTGAGTTGTTTGGAAAAAAAAGAAGTATTTTTGAGTGGTTCCTATCGTACTAGCACCATGTCCAGCGTGAGACGGGCAGTCAGTGAGCTGTCTGCTGCTGGTCCCCAGCGTGCCTTTGCCGTAGGTGTGAGTGGGTGTGAACGTGGCCGTTGACCTTCTGGAAGTGCCTCCCCTCACTCGTGTCACTTGTCCTCTCCTCCCTCTTGACTCTGTACTAGGGCACTTTCCCTCACGGAATCGATATTTTGACTGCAGCGGACTACTTTGCTGTTGGCAACAGAGCTAACTGTTTCCTGGTTATAAGGTAAGTTGTTAATTTGTCACAAAATACGACACTCCCTGTGATGCAGATCTTCCCCCTGGAAAGTCCACCAAGAGTAGATGTAATTTACATGACCGAAATTTGTGTTTCCCACTGATTGGACCAGGTGCCCAGTGTGGGATTCTGTTTACGTAAGACTCTAGAAAATGCAAACTAATCCAGAGGGACTGCGGCAGGTCTGGGTGGCCTGGGGAGCGGTGTGGGATCTGCTTGCTTTTTAAAGGGGTGCTAACAGCTTCAAGCATGATAACCAGAATGAGTGCTGTCTCTGGTCATCCCCTCCTCCCAGCCCGCCCTGTTGCGTGGGCGCTGCCTCTGGGCCCCCTTTGTGCTCATGCTTCCTGCAGCTGCTGCGGATGCACCGAGGTGGCTTAGGAAGGACTGTTTTTTCTTTCCCAAGTTGAAGGGATCTCTGGCTTGTTTATGACATGCGAGTAAGAAGAGGTATTTGGGAAATCAGGTCAAGGGGTAGATATGTAGCATGGCCACCAGCGCTGCAGGACCCGAGTCAGATTTGCACCTGCGTGACGTGTGTGCTGGGAGGCCCCTCGCTGTCTCGGCTCCTCGCTGCGGCGCGGGGAGGGCGAGGCGTGTCTGTGGTTTGTCGCCCTGACCGTGCACTAACCATTCTCCATCCTGACGAGACTCTCTCGCACCTGTGGGGACTGTGCAGAAGTTACTTTTCTCCATTACAAGCGTGCACAGATTTTTTTTAAAAAGTAGCATTTGGCCTCTTTCTCAGAGTCTTTGACTAAACACACTGTATTTTTAGCATCCTTTCCATCTTTTCTCAACATCTAATGGCTTTCTGTGCCTTATCAGTTTTTTCCTGCTTTTGTTCTGTTTTCTTGTTAATATTTGAACATATATATATATATTTAAATACACATGACATTTATTAGAAAATGTAGACTACCAAACTCCATCCGTCACTGTCGGGTAGAAATGCAAATACTAAATATGCATATGAACCGGGACCAAAGGGTGACAAATTTTAAAATATGCCATTGGGGATGGGAGTATGGGTGATTTTTTTTTTTTCTTCTGTCTGAACATATATTTCAATGTGGAGAATTTACCACTTTTCCCTGAACTTCCTGGGTAAAATAATCAGCAGTTTTTAGCCTTGGCATATTTTTCTTGTCGCTAAGGTTTCTAAGCTGGTCTAAGACTTACATGTAATCAGTTGTCTGCATTTCATAGAGATGTTTGACAGAGCTTAACCCTGTGCAGGGCGTGTTCTTTAATGGTGCGTTTGGTACTCTTAGTGTGGAAGAGAGGCGGTCGGTGAGGGCAGAGTCCTGCGGTCATAGGACTGGGATCTGTGGGCACTTGGGGGGCTCTCCACTCCAGCCAAGATAGGGCAGACACCCAGGGTCCTGCCGTCAGCCTGGACTGTGGTGGGGGCAGGGGGAGGAGAGGGAACTGTGCTGAGGGGGACAACCCAGGGGGGATGGTCCAGGGTCAGCAGGGCCCAGCTCGGGTGTAGTGAGGGGCTTCTGAGCTGAAGTGAGGGGTGTGCATCGTCCTGAGTCATGGGACACAGTGCAACAGTCAGGTCTGCGTTTTGGCAACTGGAAGCACGGAGGTCAGGCCCCTCGTGAGGCGGGGGTCAGTCTGGACCCCTCACAAGTTGATTCTTATGGAGATTAGGGTTTCTGGTGCACAGATTGGAAGCAAGTTGAAAGCAGCAGGTGAAGACAGTCAGGTGGGGTGTACCAGCAGGTGCTCCACCTTTGTTCTTACTTGGACAGCTTTGTGAAAGTTCTGAGAGCACAGGGACACTGCCGGTCCCACACGTATGCTCTGACCTGTCACCACGCCCAGGTAGTGGGAGAACTGCTACCACAGAGTTTCCCCGGCCCCTTCCCCAGCTGGCTCAGGTCTGCCGGTCACTGGATTAGTTTGCATTTTCTTAAGGATGTGAATGGAATCACACAGTGTGCACTCTGTATTTGTGCTGCTGCTTTCACTTGTTGCATGTTAATGATTCATTCATTCCTTGGCTGCTGACTAGTATTCTGTTGTATGGATACAGCACGTCCGCTTGTCCGTCCCAGTTGAGGAACATCTGGGTGTCTCCAGTTTGGGGCTGCTACAGATAAAGCAGCAGTGGACGCCCACGTACACGCCTGTCTGTGGGCAGGTGCTGTCGTGTGTTGAGCACCTAGGGTTGGAACAGCTGGACCCTAACTTTTTAAGAAGCTGCCAAACGGATTTCCAGGACAGTGGCCTGGTTCCCATGCCCCGGCAGCCAGCCCTCGCTGGGGCCCATCTTTCTAATTGCAGCCATTCTAGCGGCTGTGCAGGGCAGCTCATTAATCTGAGTTTTCCTAATGACTAAGGCTTTGAGCGTCTTTCAGGGGCTGCTTTGATAAATCTTTTGCCTGTTTATTGGGTTAGTTTTCTTCTTACTGAGAATTTGAGAATACTTTATATATTTTGAATACGAGTACTTTTTCAAACAAACAGTCTGCAAAGGTTTTCTTTTTGTCTGTGATTTGTCCTTTCAGTGTCCTGGGTATTCCTGAGACTAAACCTCTAAAAAGGTCGTATTTATTTTTGTACCTGTATTTTATTACATATAATTTCCATATAGGGAGATTCACCAATATAAAAGGTGGGTTTTGGCTGATGGGTGGCCACCACTGTGGTCAGTGCAGGGCGTGCTTCCCTCACTTCAGAAAGTCACTCAGTCCTGGGCCCTAGCAGCTCTCACTCCCCTCCTGTGCCCAGAGTCTGCCTTCTTTGGAATTGGTGTGAACGGAGTCGCGTGGCGCGTTTGCTTTTGCGTCCTGGCTTCACCGTGTTACTGAGTTCCTGCTGTCCCCTGCCCTGTCCCCCATTTACCGGCTGGTGGCCGCTCGAGCCCCTTTGATGTCAACATGCAAGCACAGGGCTATTTCTGTTGGGAAACAACCAGTGGTCGTTGGCACTTTCTGTCGTGGGTGTCTTGCTGCTGGAAGTTTCCTTAGCAGATTTCGGACGTCTGTGGTCCTGTGCATGCTTCTTGGAACACATTTTGTTGTATTTTGCTTTCCAGTAATTTGCACATTCCTGTCATACAAGTTCTTCGAACTGAGGGGCCCTCGGAGCAAACTTTCTCCTTCTCTGCTTCCTAGCTCAGCGAACGGCACGCCACCCACACAGTCAGCTCCATTTTGCTTCTCCTACGGTCTCCTTCTCTGCATCCGCTTGGTGACCTAGTTCTGTCACTTCTGTGTCCCTAATAGCCCTCAAGTGCTCCTCATGCTGCTGATCCCTTCAGCTGTCCCTGTGGCCCAGCTCCTACTGTCCCGACAGTGGCCAGGACCTCGCCTGCCACCCTCTGTTGACACCCTCCCTAGCACTGCACGTGGCCTCCGTGCAGACCCTGAGCACTCAGGGAGTGCTGTACACTGGGGGGTGGTTCCGGACGTGTGTCTTCCCCATAGTCAGCTGTCAGTTGGTGCCAGAGCTTGACTAGAGCTCAGGTGGCTCGCCCTGTCTGTTTCTTCCCGTGAGGCCACTGGTCATGGATGCTGGCCTGGGGCAGTCCTGTCTGGCAGTTCCCGGGGCCCTTCGGTGATGGGGGTTCTATGGTCACATCTTGGCTCCTTTTCTGACAGCTTGTCCACTGTCCTGGTTTTTTCTGTTTTTCCTTCTGACTTTATCTGTTTCATCACCGTTAGAGGGTCTCAGTCTCACCTCTGGAGAAGCCTCTGCTTTTCTTTCTTTCACATCCAGAACAAACGCCCTCTTCAGTCTGGCACCTTGTAACACACGCATGTCCACGCAGCACCCATATTCATCCCGTGCATGTGCACACGTGTGCCCACCCAGGATCCAGAAGCATCCATGCACCCTTCTCGGCCCCTGTGCCATCCGCTTTGTCTCTCACCACCACGTAGCACATGTGGCTGATGGCTCCGCCCATGGTGGGGGTGTGTGAATGGCCTGACAGGTTCAGATGATATGTGTAGGCAATTGAGGGTTTTAGGGGAGTGACATGTGCAATGTTTTTGGAGTTTGTGTATTTTTGGAGTAGGAAACACAAGGGCATGGGTCTTTCAGGAGTGCTCTTGTGTCCTGGTTCTGTCCCGGGGGTCCTTGTTGTCGTCAGTTCCTCAGGTCGTCTTCTAGAGAGGGTCGGTTTATGTCACACAGATGGGTGCACACCGAGCGGTGGCGCCTGGTGCACAAGGTTGGCGTGGCTTCCGTGCTCCTCCGCAGAGGACGACCGTCCAGCTGTGGGAGGTCAGGAGGTGGCTCGGGTTACCGCCCCACACGGCAGAAGGTGCTGTGCTAACGGGCAGCATGCGTGCAGCACCTTCGCTCTGCATCCTGTGTCCTCTGTGTGGACGGAGAGTAATTTCCTGGCCTTCGGCTTCTGTCTCATCTTTTGCTGATTTATATACGATGTGAAGTGAGTGTTTTTGCGCATGGTATGTCTCACCTGTGTGGTTGTATCTGAATGAATTAACAAAAATGGGATCGCTGGATCTTTATGTTTTCAATTTCCTGTTTGGTGCCAGTTACTGTCCGTAGAGGCTGCACCGGAAGGGGACTCCCAGCCGCGTTTCTAGATGCCTCTAGATCCTTCCAACAGTGGCTGCACCCCTCGCTCCCGACTTTGGCAGTCTGGCAGATGGACGGAGGTTTTCTTTCTGTCTCCCATAGGAAGGAGGCTGAACATGAGCTGTGTCCATTTTCTTCTCTGTAAACTGTCTGTGAGGATTATCTTATGAGGTGATGGTATTTTCTGATGGATTTGGAACAACTTTATTTTTAAAAAGTCTCGTATTTGTGATAACAGTTGCTGGTATTTTCTTTGAGTTTGTTTTTATCTTTTGACTTTGTTTATGGTGTGTTTTTCCTGGCAGACATTTTTCTTTTTTGGTTATGTGTTTGAATGTACCAATCTCCTTTAGTGGGTTTTGAGTTGTAAGTAGAGAGGCCTGTCCTATTTGGACATTTTTTTTCTTAATTGTCCTGCACTATTTTCACTAGATATAACTTTTATTTTTGAGGCATAATTTACACTCTGTCAGCTGTCCTGGAGTGAGGGGCACAGTTCAGTGGGAGCTGACGGTGCGCACCCCTGGGTGACCACCTTCATTGAGATACCACAGGCGGGCGGCCCCAGCCCACCACTGTGGGTCACTGGTGCTGTTTGTAGAATGTCGCCTACGTGGAATCAGAAGGGATGTGCTCTCGCGTCAGGCTTCCTGGCGCAGCGTGTTGTGCATGCGGTGTGTTGAGAGTGGTCTCTGTCCGTGGCTGCTGCGGGGTACATCTTAGCTCGCCTGTTCTGGACGTTTAGGCTGTTTGGAGGTTGTGGCTCTGATGAATAAAGCTGCTGTGAACTTTTATTTGCAAGTCTTCACGTGCCTTTAGCTTTCTTTCTCCTGGGTAAATACTTACAGGGGGATTTCTGTATATTTAACTTTATAAGGAACTGCCAAACTATGCTTGAACGTGGCTGTATGATTTCACCTCTCACAAGCAGGTTCCTGCTCCTTCCCATCCTCACCGCCTCTGAATACCGTCTTTTTTAGCACGTTTATTGCCGGCTTTCCTGAGTACACACAGCCAATGATAGACCACTTGGTGACCATGAAGATCAACCACTGGGATGGGTAAGTTTTGTGTTTTTGTGCGTATCTCATTAGTGATGTATTTTATTAGATTACCTGTCAAATTAGAATTCTTGTTTTTTTTTCCAGAGGAGAGATTAAATGGAGCTAAGCCTTGAGAATGTATCTTCTTATTGTAGGTTTCATATTTTAAGATGACTTTTGAGAAGTGATAGGAGTTCTTGTCTTCATGCCTGACATGCTGGCTAATGGTCTGTGTCCAGCTTTACCTCTGGAGACCTTAGGTGTGCTAGGTGTGCCACGTTCCTGTGTGGATACTGTCGTGCTGGCGTGTGATGGTGGGTGTGAGCAGCCTCCCAGGCACTCCTTTGGTGGCCCTTCCTCCGGCGCTGCCCTGCATGGCTGCTCTGGCCGGCGGTCTTCTCTGTTGTCTCCTTGAAGCCAGCAGGCATTGGTGGCTTTTCCTGATGACGGAGCAGTCTCGGGCCTCTGAGCGTTTCACTAGCTCACCGTGCCTTCTGAGGGAGGGCTCCCTGTGCGATCCAGAGCACAGAGGGGTGTCCATGCCACAGCTGCTGTTACCGCTGCTGGGAAGACAACGTTGCTTGTTGTAGGACGCTCGGTGTGGCCGCCGGTGCAGACAGGAGATCTCAGGGGCGGTGAGCGCCTGCAGGTGTAAGTAGCTAGATGGGTCGTACGTCCAGAACCCTGGCTTCAGGGTGGGTGTCACTTGCAGAGAGTTCTTTCTGATCTACTGGGGAACGTGTTCCAGCTTCTGCCAGGACCGTGCCGTGGGTGGCAAGGCATCCGGCGTGTCTCCCTCACGTGCAGGAGCGCAGGGCTCTCCCCGGGAGCGGGCGCCTCTGGCAACAGGAGCACCTCTGGGTGCCGCTTGCGTGGGTATGGCCTGCCCGCCAGGAGGCCTCTCTGGCGGTTTCCTTGCCGGGGACCTTCCTGAGAGTTGTGCTGGTGTCTGACACTTGACGCGTAACTGCAGAGACTCTTGTAATCAGGACAGAGAGCCCATGCACTGAGCCTGTGATGAATCAGTTAATTATCCTATCAGTCAGTAGGGTATTTAAGACCAGAGCTGTCCATGTATTATTACCTGTGGTGTTAGATAAACTGAGCTGTTGAACTCTCCAGCTGATGTATCAGAACACTCACTTCCTTCAGTTCTGGGCCTCTCTCGTTAGGTGCATTTACATTTATCATTTGTGTCTTCCCAGCGGATTGGCCCTTTATCATCATGACATGTCCTTCTCTGTTTCATGTTAGATTTTTTGTCTTAAAGTGCGACTTGATAAAATTAAAGCATAAGGGTCGGCATACTTTCTTTAAAGGGCCAGGCAGTAAATATTTTAGGTCTCTGTTCCATATATTTTACTGTTTTTTCTTTACATGACCTTTTAGGATGTAAAAACCATTCTAGCTGCTTGGGGCCTTACCAGAAGAGGCCCAGATGGAGCCCTTGGAGCAGCTCCCCGCCTATTGCCCTTTGCTCTCGGCCTGTGTGTGTTTTATAGGGTCTTGCTTTTTATATCCATTCTGACAAAGTCTGCCTTTTGTGTGAGGCCCTTAGTCTGTGCACGTTTAATACAATCATCAGCATGGTTCACTTTCTGCCTGTCATCTTGCTGTTTGTTTTCTATATTTTCTCATGGCTTTTGTTAATTTAATTTAAAAAAGATTCTTTGTGGATATTTTCTTTTTTAGAATAAGCTCTGAAAACCTGACAGCGTTCAGTGTATGTGAGCCACAGCATAGAGGGGAATGTTGTCTGGTTCTACTTTCTGTCAGGTTTGGAGACCCTCAGGGTAACATCAGCTAACACTTCTAGCACATTGGGCTTTATAAAGCATGATGTGGCCTTGACATTTTATGATTCTTTAGAGGTGGAGATGTTTCTGCATCTGTCTATCTTTGGCCTGGATTCTGTCAGTGAGGAGATAGCAGCTAGAAGTTCACAAATAGGGGCACCTGGGTGGCTCAGTCGGTTAAGCGTCTGCCTTCGGCTCAGGTCAAGATCCCGGGGTCCTGGGATCGAGCCCCGCATCGGGCTCCCTGCTCAGCGGGAAGCCTGCTTCTCCCTCTCCCACTCCCCCTGCTTGTGTTCCCACTCTCGCTGTGTCTGTCTCTGTCAAATAAATGAATAAAATCTTTAAAAAAAAAAAACAGATCCCAGGGTCCTGGGATCGAGCCCCGCATCGGGCTCCTTGCTCAGCAGGGAGCCTGCTTCTCCCTCTCCCACTCCCCCTGCTTGTGTTCCTGCTCTCGCTGTGTCTGTCTCTGTCAAATAAATGAATAAAATCTTAAAAAAAAAAAAAAAAAAGATCCCAGGGTCCTGGGATCGAGCCCCGCATCGGGCTCCTTGCTCAGCAGGGAGCCTGCTTCTCCGTCTCCCACTCCCCCTGCTTGTGTTCCCACTCTCGCTGTGTCTCTCTCTGTCAAATAAATGAATAAAATCTTAAAAAAAAAAAAAAAAAAAAGATCCCAGGGTCCTGGGATCGAGCCCCGCATCGGGCTCCTTGCTCAGCAGGGAGCCTGCTTCTCCCTCTTCCACTCCCCCTGCTTGTGTTCCTGCTCTCGCTGTGTCTCTCTCTGTCAAATAAATGAATAAAATCTTTAAAAAAAAAAAAAAAAAGATCCCAGGGTCCTGGGATCGAGCCCCGCATCGGGCTCCTTGCTCAGCAGGGAGCCTGCTTCTCCCTCTCCCACTCCCCCTGCTTGTGTTCTGCTCTCGCTGTGTCTCTCTCTGTCAAATAAATAAGATCTTTTTATTTTTTAAAGAATTTTTTTTTAAATTTATTTGTTTGAGACCAAGAGATACAGAGAGAGAGAGAGACAGCAGGAGCAGTGGGGAGCGGCAGAGGGAGAGGGAGAAGCAGACTCCGTGCTGAGCAAGGAGCCCAATGCGGGGCTCGACCCCAGGACCTGGAGATCATGACCTGAGCCGAAGGCAGATGCTTAACCATCTGAGCCACCCAGGCACTTCTAAATAAAATCTTAAAAAAATAAAAAAATAAAAAAAGGAAGTTCACAAATGGGACTTCCTCGTTCTCTGGTTAGCACATGGCTTGCTCATGGAAAATGGGGAGCCCCTTGCAGAATTCTTCACAAACACTGTTGTGTAGTGGGTCTTGACTCATACAGGGATTCTGTTTTACCTTAAGTAGTGTCACTTTTAAGAGGTATTGGTCCATTCTCTTGGGTTTCTTTTTGGAAGTTTTCTGACACCCAAAATAATTTATGTATCAAGATAAACATAACTTTAAATTTTTTTGATTATGGGAAAATACACCTATATCTATCATCTTAACCACTTTTTGTGTTACGTACATTTGCCTTGTTGTGCACACATTACTACCATTCATCTCCAGAACTTCTTCATCTTGAAAAACTGAAACTCTGTCCCCACTGAACAGGGACTCGTCCTCCTCACCCCCTCCCTTAGCCCCTGGCACCCATCATCCTACTTTCTGTCCCTAAGAATTCAATTTCTCCAGGGTCCTGATGTAAGTGGAATGATACAGTATTTGTCCTTTTGTGACTGGCTGATTTCACCGAGCATAATCTCCTTAACGTTCATCCATGTTGTAGCAGGTGACGGGATTTCCTTCCGTTTTAAGGCTGAGTGACACTCCATTGTGTGTATAGACCACATTTTCTTCACCCATTCATCTGTTGGTGGACCCTGGGGTTACTTCCATCTCTTGACTGTTGTGAATATTGCTGCTGTGAATGTAGGTGTGCAAATCTCTCTTCAGTACCCCACTTTCAGCTCTTTTGGGTAAATACCCAGAAGTGGAATTCCTGGGTCATACGGTAATTCTATTTTTAAAGTTTTGAGGAGCCCCCAGAACTGTACTGGTTTTCATAATAGCCACCATCTTACATTCCTTCCCTCCATATCCTCACTGTTCCTTGACTTCTCTTTTCCCGATGGTGGCGATCTTACTGGATGTGAGGTGGCACCTCGTGGTTTTGATTTGCATTTCCCTGATGATTATTGACGTCGAGCATCTTTTCATGTGTTAGTTGGCTATTTGTCTATCGTCTTTGGAGAAACGTCTCAAGTCCTTTGCCCATTTTTTAATCCAGTTACTTGTTTTTTGTTGTTGAGTTGTAGAGGTTTTTCATATATTCTTATATTAATCAATTATCAGATACATAATTTGCAAGTATTTTCTCCCATCCTATAGGTTGCCTTATCACTCTGTTGACTGTGTCCTCTGATAAGCAGAAGTTATAAATTTTAATGCAGATTTATCTATTATCAGTTTATCCATTTTTACTCTTGTTGTCTGTGCTTTCGGTGTCATATCCAAGAAGTCGTCACCAGATCTAACATCACGAAGCTTTTCTCTTCTCTTTTCTTTTCAGAGTTTATAGTCTTAGGTCTTCTGTCTAGGTGATAAATATAACAGTTTTAAGTAGAGAAAGCTTATGCTCAAAGTAGCACTAATTGGGAAAGATGCAGGTAAGTGTGCTTGTTGGAGTGGCCACCCCCTTTGCCTCCTTGGGACTTTTTCCCGCTGAAATAAATGGTTCTCTGCTTTGTGACCCTTTAATCACTCATTCTTTGGAAACAGCTTCCTGAATGTTGACCAAATACTTATGGAGGCTGTGGGGTTGCAGTGCTGGGTTTGACTGGTGTTAGTGACCAAGTGATTAGTGTTGGGCATGGTGGTCGTGGATGTGTGGTGTTGAGGCTCTTGGTGCCTGAGACATCCCTGCCTCCAAGAACTCGTGGTTTGCTGTCAGAAGTGGACCCCCTAAGCAGGACCTGGGGGCCCAGGAGGGCTGGGACGTGGTCCTGCCTGGTACAGGGGACATCCTGTTTTCATGTTTCTGTGTTCAGTCAGTGCTGATGTATTTTGGAAGTTTAATCGTCAAAATACAGATAGCCCTCTTCTGCATGTTTGTTTCCACCCTGATGTTCTTATCCTGTTTCTGTGTTGTCCTGTTGTCATCACCCAAAGCATTGTTGTTGCAGTGATGACTGGTCTCCACCGCTGTGCCCTCCTGGCGTCTAGTGCCTGGCGGCTAGGGTGAGGTTGGGGAAGCTGGGTCTGGTCAGCGCCGTCTGGCCCCAGCAGGCTCAGGAGGGCCTCAGGCCCTCACTCCCCAGCCCTGGGGGCTTCCTTCTGTCGTTTGATGTGTTGAGAACGTGTCTGATGTGTTTTCATCGGAAGTATCTGTACTGATGCGATTTGTGCCTTAGCCATACGACGTTCCTCCCGTGCAGCCCTGTGGTCCTCACAGTGAGGGTTCCACGTGGCTCTGCCCAGTGCGCCTGTCTCCTGAATCCCTTGGGGCGTGGGAAGTTGGAGACACATGGCCACATGGCACCCAGAGAGGGAGGCTGTGCCCCTTGCAGGCCTGGCTCAGGCCCTCCGTTTGGTCAGTTTGCTTGTTCTTGTGTTACAATCACAGCTGCTTATTTGTTTGTTTTTATTGGTGGTTCTGAGTCAGTGGGCAGTTGGCACTCCTGTGTTGTCTGTCCTCTCTCTTCATGAGTGGAATAAAGTTCGAATCATCAGAAGGAAGGAACTGACGGTTGTCTTCATCCCTCCCCCAGAGTCATCAGGGAACTGTCTGCGAAGGCTCTGCATAACCTGGCCCAGCGAGCTCCTGAGTACAGCGCCGCTCACGGTGGGTGCGTTCCGCCGTCCTGCTGGCAACACACGCACACGCGTGTGCCCCTGTGCATCCGCCACGCACACAGCACAGGGCGAGGACAGGCCGCTGTGCTGGGGTCCAGGCCTGGAGGGCTGAGAGTGACCTTGTGTTTCTCTCTCGCTGAGAAGCACGTGAATGAAGAGCTGGTCTGCGCTTGGTCAGGGGACAGAACACAACCAGACGCCATGAATGTTGCGGTGTGTGTGTGTGCCCTGGGTGCAGGCTCCGATTACCGCAGGGAGCTGATGGCTTCCGTTGTGTGTCTCGTGTATTTCAGAAGTAGCTTTTTTTTTTTTTTAAATGAAGTAATTCACAATCTGATAAATTAAAAAATGAGCTGCTTTCTGGCAGCTCCTGGCTGAGGGAATAGGAGAGGAGAACTGCCAGGTCCAAAGGGACCACACCCATTATCATTAAGGAAAGAACCCATATTCCAGAATAAACAAACATTTGATTTCAATATAGGGAACCATACTCAAATTTCTTTCTTTTTTTTTTTTAAAGATTTTATTTATTTATTTGACAGAGAGAGAGACAGCGAGAGCAGGAACACAAGCAGGGGGAGCGGGAGAGCGAGAAGCAGGCTTCCTGGGGAGCAGGGAGCCCGATGCGGGGCTCGATCCCAGGACCCTGGGATCATGACCTGAGCCGAAGGCAGACGCTTAACGACTGAGCCACCCAGGCGCCCCATACTCAAATTTCTTTAAATTATGCTTATTCTCACTGACTTTTATAGGGTAACTAGTGGTCACATTGTGGCTCTTCATTTGGAGTCACCGATTTTACTTATGTGTGCCTCTCGCACACTCTGGGCCGTTAGTTCCTAAAGGCCTTCACCTTCACGGTCTGTTTGTGAAATACGATGTCAGGAGTCTCTTATTTACCTATAATTGGTAATCGTCATGGCCTGAATGAAGGGGCGCTCCACCTTGTCCTTTCTTTCCGGTAGGAGAGCATTAATAGGATGAGGGATTTCCCCAGTTCTTGAACACAGACCGCTGCTAGCTGCCATGTTTGAGTGCCTGTGTGGGGTGCCTCTGGCTTGGATGCCGTCTGCTTCTACAGCCCCTGCAGCACTGCATTTGCGTGTTCAGGGAAGTGGAAGCTCAGAGGGATGGGATTTCCCAGGTTGGTGGGGCAGAGCTGGTGTGGACATGGCTCCTTGTCTGCACTCCACCAGCCCGCGAGGGTTTTGTGACTTTGCTTTCTGTCGCCAGAGCACCAAAGTCGTAGAAGTGTCCTTTGCTCTGAGCAGGGGCAGCGGGCTCCCACACTGAGGCGCATCACGCACAACTGTAGGGTCCTGCCGCTCGGCCTCCATCCTGCTCTGTGCTCAAGGCAGAGCCTCTGCCAGCCATTCAGCCACAGCAAAGACCCAATTCTCTCTCTTCACTCTGTGTCCCTGCCCTGTGTCTCGGGGACCTGAGGATTGGGAAGCTCCCCTCCCCCATTTCGCTCACTTCTCTGGGTGCCGAGGAGGGTTTGGCCTGTTAACTTGGGTTAAGTCCCAGGTATTGCGCTCGTGGCCCTTACAGAGGTCACGTTCCATGGGTATGTCTCCCCTTTGGATCCCGAGTCTGTGAGTCTGACACATTATCCTCTGCGCACTCACTGATGTGTCGTCTGGCCCCTGTCCTTTGCAGTTCTCCCACGTCTGCTGTCGATGACGCAGAGTCTGGACCTGCACACGCGGCACGGAGCTGTGCTTGCCTGTGCGGAGGTCGCCCGCGGCCTGTACAGACTCTCAGTACAAGAGGACAGGTAGGTGAAGCACCACGGTCCCGTGGAACCACTGCAGTTGCGAGCTGGGGACCCCCGTCCACCTTCATGTTTGTTTACTTGTGATGGTGTCACTGGTCGTCAGATTCCTGTGTTTTATTTGACGAAGTTTTTCAGTGTTCTCTCTCCTCTCACGAGCCGTGTCCGTTGACGGACTGCCACCTCTCCAGCAGGAGCCTGCGAGCTCCTGGCCAGCTGGGGCCACTGATGGCCTTAGTTGTGGCTGTTTTCTTACGTTCCCTTGTCTTTCTGGGTATCGAGTTAGGTTATAAAAGCAAGACATGTTTTCAGAGAGGGTAGTGAGTGGGCCGTATACTCAGTATTCTTCGCTCATTATTACTTTTCATAATTTAGAATACCAGAGAATATAAATGGTAACATTTCCACTGAGAACTTTTCTAGCTGGCAGAGCTCTAACAAACAGTGGGGGAGCACAGGGGCATTCGGAGCAGCTCCATATATGCCATGTTTTGTACGTTTGTAGGGTACCATTGGGGTTTCTACTTCTCTTTCCAACCGACTTTTCCACAAAAGGAAAAGCTCACAACACACCACAGTGTCTGCAACCTGGATTTTGGATTGCAGTTTGAGGAACACTGTGTTTTAATCCCATCAGGTCACTCTGGATGATTCCCCGGGGGCCATGTGAGGCAGGGTTCTGGCGACAAGCCCAGGAGCTTTGATCTGGTTCACCCCTTGCGCCCCATGGCCTAGATGTACACTGTCGTGCAGCTTTAAGGACATCCACATGGGGGTGAAATGGCACCTGTGGGCCAGGCCGAGGACTTGGTGTTGACGGCAGTGCTCTCTGTGGTTGGGCAGAGACCAGGCGAGACCCGAGTCCTGCCCAGTACAGTGGCATGGGATGTACCAGGGCGTGACAACCTGGGAAAGTGTTCACCGGGGCAAGTCAGAGAGACCAGCACTGGGGTTTTCTTGGGGGCTGGGATGGGGTAGCCTCTGCCTGGACCCACATCCCAGACTCCCAGAAGGAAAACAGATGTCAGCATAAGGCACCTGGTTTGTACCAACAGTCTAGGCACAGAGAATCCCCATTCACAGTTAGGGAAGGATGGGAAGCGTCCCGAGATCCAGGTTCTTGGATGCAGGCTGAGGGCCAACTGTGCCTTGGCAGCATGAAGCCGCTGTGTGAGCTCTTGTCTGGTCACAGGCCCTCAGCTCAGCATTGGGGGGTCTTGTCTCTTTTCTCAGACAGTCGTATTGGCTGCTCTGGGGTCCTGGGGGTCTCGGCTCTCCAGCAGGGCCCTTTCTGTCTCCATCCCAGGGCTGTGTCCATTGTCAGCAAGCTGCTGCATGGGTCATGGCTTTACGGGAAGGTCCATACACCTCCCTCTTTGAGTAGATGCTGCTTTCGGGGATTACCCTCTACAGGTGTTTGGGGAAGCTGGTTGGGCACCTGAACAAAGTGCAGACCTTTCTGAGCCCCAGGCTCCTTTAGTGCTTGCTGTCCTCAGGATCTCAGCTGTTGTGTTTGAACCCATGCAGGCCCGTCGCAGACTACCTGGATGAAGCGGCAGTGCAGGGCCTGAAGCAGATTCACCAGCAGGTTTGTGTGCGGCCCCTGGGAGGGTCCCATTCTCCAGGTCTCCTGGTGCCTGGAACTGTCCTCTGCCCTTACAAGCTCTCTCCCCCCTCCTTAGCCCTGATCGAAGCCCCAGAGTCTGATGACAGGACAGGTCCTGCTGAGACCAGTCCTGGGGCCCATTGCTCAGAAGCAGGTCTCTTCTTTGGCCTCATTGGTGGCTCGTCTGGGATGGGAGGTACACGCGCTCTCCTCCTGCCACTGATCGGGGCCCGGGCAGGTGACACGGTCTCTCCTGTCTGGTGCTCGTCTTTCTGTGCTGCCTGGCTACACTTTACACTTGTTCCCCGGGAGCTCAGCGACTCGGGCGCGTTCCACGCCTCTGTCTTGGACGTGGCCTGTTCTGTGGAGGCGGCACATAGAATGAGCATGATGGCTCTGACTCCCACCTGTGCCTCCACGGTGGGACTGCCGTCTGAAATTACACCCAGACTCTGTGTTTGCACATCTTAGAGTTGGGGGGGAAGTATGTCCATTTTTGTGGGTTTTTGAGATTTTCCAAATCTCTGCGATTCAGAAGAAGTGAAGTGTGAATTACAGGCCTAATGTTACCGGATAACATCAAAGTCACTCGTGAGGATTTAGATGGGTTGAATATTTGTTGTTCTGAATAGAGTTCTATATTCTTTAAGATTTATCTCTGTAGGTATAACACCATGTTGATATCAGATCCTCATCCTGTGTATGCTCCTGGCTATGATTTTGGCAAATCCATTCAGTGGGGTGTGGGAGTGCTGTGCGGTGGTGTGCATGAGGGTGGTGCTGAGAGGGGTGCAGCGTGGAGACTCGGCAGCCAGGCGGGGCATCCCCAAGCTAGGGGTTCTTTGTGGAGTTCAGGAAGCAGCAGAGCCTGCCCCCCTTGAGTTTCTGTGGGACACGAAGAAGGCATTGGCCAAGCTCAGTGCCATCTTGGGGAGAGGGGTGCTGGTGGTCCCGGCTGCCCAAGAGGCTGTCTGGGGACCTTGGAACCAGGACACAGGTCAGTCCTGGCTCCCCTCTCTGTGCCTTGGTTTCCCCTTCCAAGTGGGGGCACCAGAAAGCAGGTTGTCATGAGGTGCTTGCTGGGAGTAGAGTGGGCTCTGTCATGAGGACCCCGCTGTCAGCTCTATGAGGACGCCCAGCCTGAGAAACGCTTGTTCCTGCTGTGTCCTCATCACTCCTGTCCAGTGCTCAGTAATGTTCTATATCTACTGTGTGGTTTTAAAAAATCAGTTAATTTAAATAACTAACTTTCACTTCTTCATTTTAGCTTTATGATCGTCAGTTATACAGGTAAGCTTCACAAACCCCACGTTCTTGTTTTGTGTCTTAAAGAAAAAATACTCTGTCAGTGAAGATTGGGCTGGCCTGTTAGGGCTTCTCTCCAGTCACCCCCATGGCTACCTGGCTTGTGTCACTTTCTTTGAAGGGGCATCACAGTTAGAAGATGTGAAGGTCGAACTAGCCTCGTTGGTGTTTTTAAGCTTTATTGAGGTTTCTGTGTCCTGTAATAAAGTTTGCTTGTGTAAGCGTGTGGTCCGATGGGTGCTGGTCACTGCAGATGGCCGTGTGGCTGCAGCCGCCATGCCGAGCAGCTGGTGTCACCCTGACGCTTTCCTCCTGCCCTTTGCAGCGGTCCCCAGCCCAGCCCCGGGGGCCCCATCTGAGCTCTTTCTCTGTAGAGCTGCCCCTTGTGAATTTCATGCAGATGGAGTCCCACCGGGACGTCCTTGCGGTCTGGCTGCTTTCACTTGGCGTGAGGTTTCAGAGGCTCACCCTTGTTGTGGCGTGCACCACGGTGTTGTCTTTGTATCACCGTGTGCTTGGCGTGTTTATCTGCCCGCCAGGTCGGGGTGGGGGTTGGGTTGTTCCAGCTTTTGGCTACTTGGGATACTTGTGCTGTGAACATTGGTGGTCAAGTCCTGGTCTGGATGTGTGTTTCCACTTTTCTTGGGTAAATCCCTGGGGGAGGTGGTGGTGGTGTATTTTTAAGGCCCCGTCAGACTTGTCCGAAGGGCTGCGCCCCTTTGCTTCCACCAGCAGTGTTTGGGAGCGTTCTCTGTCCTCAGCACACATGGTGGGCAGTCTTCACCAGGAGCCGCCCCTGTGGGTGTGCAGAGGTCGTGAGCACAGCCCTGAGTTGCATCTCCCTGCGGGCTAGTGAGCTTGGCATCTTCTCCTGTGTGCCTGGCCATCTTCTGTCTCCTTCCGTGAAGTGACTGTTCAAATCTTTTGCTTATTAAAAAAATTTCATGGTCTGTTTCCTCACTGAGCTGTCAGCACTCCATATGTTCTAGATGTGAGCTCTTTATAGATGTGATCGCCCAGAATTTTCTCCCACTCTGGGGCTTACCTTTTCATTTTTCCTTGTGGCTTTTTAATGTAACTGTTCAGGGTAGGGAACGTGGCCTGGCCTGTTCTCTGTTGTTCTTGACATGTTCACCTTTTCGTCTCTTCCTGAAAGTGCATGGCCTGCTCTTACCCCTGGCCAGGGTCTCAGACCTCCTCAGGTCACCTGAGTAGTTCTGAAAGAAGTTCCTCAGCAGGAGAAGCCCTGGAAGGGGGCCGAGAAGCAGTGGTCCTGGCCTGAGCCCCTGGTGAGGGGCTAGCTAGCGTTGTTCTCTGCTGCTTTGGCAGCTGGTCTAAGTTAATTTAAAGCTGCTCTTCTGCGCTCCTGTCCTATTTCAGAATCCCCTCTTCTGGACAGCTCTGTCGATGGCTCAGTGGCACAGATGTGGCCTCTCTTAATGGCTGTCCCCCCACGGACAGCCCTGTGCTTGAGCCAGTGTGTAGTGGGGCTCATTCGCATCTCGTTAGCACCTGTGGGACGTGGCTGGGCCTGTGTCCGGACCTTCCGTGGCTCCACGGGCCCTGTGGTTGGTGCAGAGATGTGTCTGAGGTCTTGGGATGCTTCCACAGTTTTGTCCCCTTCAACTGTCCTTCCACTCTGGTTGGGGCAGGATGTTTGTGTTTCCCTGCAGACGATACGCACCTCCTGAGCGACTACAGAGGTGCTGCTTTCTTCCCCAGTGTGGGTTAATGGACACTTCACCAGAAGTGCCTGGTGGAGCTGAGCGTGCACATGGACAGCCGCTGCACAGCATGGTCCCAGGGAGGGAGGATGGCGTGGCTGTGCTTTCGGGCATGGACGTGACTGCTCCTGCCGCACGCTTTCCTTGATGGCTGGTGAGGAGGGGTCAGCACCTGGGGAGCTCCCCTTGGGCTCTCGACTGTTCCACTGACACCGTCCACGCTGGCTTTCCACCTGTTCGGACAGCAAAGAGGAGCAGCTCCGCCTCAAGTAGAGAGCATGCTCATTTCTTTCTGGTGAAATGCTTCAGCCCCCTGGATTGATAAACCGTGGTCCAGAGTGGGCAGAGAGCCTCAGGCAGACCCCCCAGGACGAGGGAATGCCCTAGTGCATAGCTTTGTCTGATAGCCGATGGCTTATGGTGGTGTCCATTAGCATTTCACAGATTCTAAATACATCTGTGCTGCTTTTAAATTTGGTTTAAATTTCTCCTGGACTCAGCGGGCAGGTGGCCCCTGGGCTTGGCTCCCCACCCTGAGCCTGGGAGCGCCCTTGACTTGCCTGCTTCCCTCCTGCCCCAGACTCTGTTCTCCATGTCGGGAGCCTTCCTTTCCTAGATGTCATCCAGTTTCTGAATCGCTTCGCACAGAAGGGAGACAGTCCTGTTACTCTGCGCCAGAAGCCGCAGTCTCATAAACAGACTTCTGTCTTCTTGTGGAGTGCGCTTATGTTCACATCTGCCACTTTGCTGTGCTCAGTGTCCGGTATTAGGTGTCCAGAACGGGCCATGTTTCTTCTCTAGCGGACCTTAGTGGCTTGCTTCCTCGGGCTGGATGGTGGTAACTTCCCGGTGTCCCTTGTTCTTAGTAAGAGTTGAGCAGTATTTGGGATCTGTGCCGTGTGACAGTACGGTGTGGTTCATGCCATAAGGATTATCGTGCCCAGGAAAACCCGAGAATCAGAATGACTTCATCTGGAGGATGGTCACAGCACGTCTTCCATTTCTTTACTGAAAGGCAGTGATTACCAGCAGGAGGAAGTGCAGCTGAGCAGCATCTCACTGTGTAACTTCGGAGCCTGAAGTTCTATCTGTCACTTAGGATATTTTACGTTGTGATGTATAAGAAAGATTTTAACTCTGTCTTCATTAATTTTCAGGGGTCTTGGAGGAGAACTCATGAGACAAGCAGGTAGGTCTGAGCCATGGGCTTGTACGTGACAAAGTCCTAAGGGCGTTGGCTTCCCTGTCTCCAGCGCTGCGTGGTCTGCGTGGTCTGCGTGGTCTGCGTGGTCCTCCGGGCCAAAGGGCGTTGGCTTCCCTGTCTCCAGTGCTGCGTGGTGTGCGTGGTGTGCGTGGTGTGCGTGGTGTGCGTGGTCCTCCGGGCCAAAGGGCGTTGGCTTCCCTGTCTCCAGTGCTGCGTGGTCTGCGTGGTCTTCGTGGTCCTCTGGGCCAAAGGGCGTTGGCTTCCCTGTCTCCAGTGCTGCGTGGTCTGCGTGGTGTGCGTGGTCCTCCGGGCCAAAGGGCGTTGGCTTCCCTGTCTCCAGTGCTGCGTGGTGTGCGTGGTCTGCGTGGTGTGCGTGGTCCTCCGGGCCAAAGGGCGTTGGCTTCCCTGTCTCCAGTGCTGCGTGGTCTGCGTGGTCCTCCGGGACAAAGGGCGTTGGCTTCCCTGTCTCCAGTGCTGCGTGGTGTGCGTGGTGTGCGTGGTGTGCGTGGTCTTCGTGGTCCTCCGGGCCAAAGGGCGTTGGCTTCCCTGTCTCCAGTGCTGCGTGGTGTGCGTGGTGTGCGTGGTGTGCGTGGTCCTCCGGGCCAAAGGGCGTTGGCTTCCCTGTCTCCAGTGCTGCGTGGTCTGCGTGGTGTGCGTGGTCTGTGTGGTCTGCGTGGTCTTCGTGGTCCTCCGGGCCAAAGGGCGTTGGCTTCCCTGTCTCCAGTGCTGCGTGGTCTGCGTGGTCCGCGTGGTCCGTGTGGTCCGCGTGGTCTGCGTGGTCCTCCGGGCCAGAAGTGTGCTGAGGCACACGTGGCTCCTGCGACCGAGGGCCCGCCTGCTGCCTCCACTCCTGCGTGCTCACTGCAGGGCTTTCAGCTCCTGTGTGTTCTGATGTATCTTGGCAGCCACAGGTCGGCGGCTGGGCTAAGGTGAGCGAACGGAGCTGTGGTTTGTCTTCACGGAGGGCTGTCACCGTCCTTCCCTCCTCAGTGCACTCTGTGTGTAACTGTACAGCAAAGGGTAGACTTCAGATTTCAGTTGAATGTCCACGGGGAACTCAGACAATGCCTGGCTTTTCTGGAGCCTTCCCAGCTAAATCCACGAGAAACCCCAGCACTCCTCCACTTGTCTGGGGGTCGTTTGTCAGGCACCTGGCTGTGCGCAGGCGGGCAGGCCTGGATGCAGGAGAGCCCCTCACCAGGGAGTGGAGAAGTCAGGGAGGGCCTGTAGTCTCAGAGGGCAGGCCTCTGGTGGGGTGCCCGTAGGGTGGGGACTGGTAAGCACATGGCCGGAGCTGGGCTGGTGCGGGAGGGGCGGGCACCGCCCGTCCTACATCCCTCCCAGGCTCCCTGAGCGCTCTGCGCAGTCCCCCAGCCTGACTCTGGACCAGACCCTTCAGTATGTGTGCTTGGTGGTTCCTTTTCTTCCTGGAACTCTTGTCCCTTTGCTTCTGGAATAATCCACCGCACCGGTTCTCACTGTTCCGTCTGTGTCCTTCCTCCCATGTGCTCTGCCCCACCCAGTTGGCGCCCCCAGAACTGTCCCTGTATCCCCCTCCCCGGCCAGCTAGCCCAGGAAGGGGGTTGCAGCATGCCTTGCTGCTCTGATTTGCCCCAAATCCTCGTCTTCACAAAGAACTGCTAGTTTGCTACTTCTGCCTCAGTCCTCATTTGGGATTCTCAGTTGTTTTTTTTTTTTTTTTTTTAAGATTTTATTTACTTGACAGAGAGACCCAGCGAGAGCGGGAACAGAAGCAGGGGGAGTGTGAGAGGGAGAAGCAGGCCTCCCACAGGCCTCCCACGGGTAGGGAGCCCGATGTGGGGCTCGATCCCAGGACCCTGGGATCATGACCCGAGCCGAAGGCAGACGCTCAAAGACTGAGCCACCCAGGCGCCCTGAGAGTCTCAGTTTTATTAAGGAGCAGCGACCATTGCAAATCCTTGAGTGGCTGCAGAGAGGGTCTTGAGCTTCCCGTACTCCCTGTACTCCGACCTCAGAGCTGGTCTGCAGGCCTCCAGCCTGCCGAGCTGTGCATAGTGTCTGTGCTGCTCTGACCTCCGTGTGCAGCCCCGGACGGCAGTGGGGCCTTCGTGCAGGCCTGGCGTGCATCCCTCTGTCACAGGAGCAGCCTGGGTGCTGGGCTCTTGTGGACGAGGTGGTCCCTTGGGCCATGAGCAGGAAGTGTGTGGGGTACGGCCTGGGTGGGCAGGCATAGGGGGCCCTGAGGAGCAAAGGGCAGTGAGGGGGTGTGGGCAGGACCTTGGGCCACAGCTGGTCACAGCAGAGGTCTCACATCGCACTGGTGTGGTGGCCTGGCAGGGAGCTGTGCCCCCAGGATTGCCCTGCATCTGAGTCAGACCATACACGACAGCACTTGCCTGGCCTGCAAGCGGGAAGAAGTCAGGGGCTCCTGGGATCCGTTGAAAAGCAACATCATCAACACACGAGTCTGTGCCCCGTTCCTCTGCAGCTTGGCCATGCTCAGAGGCACAGGCAAGCTCAGCTGGGCCGCGCGGCCCGAGGGGCGGCGTGCACACACCCTCACCTGTGTAGCATGCAGGGGAGGAGCAGCATAACAGCGAGAGGCGATGACCGTAGCCGAGAAAACCAGAGTGTGCCACCGCCGCACACCGTGTCGGTGCTGGTCCTTGAGAAAGAAGAACAAAGCCACTCGCTGAGGAAACACAATAGGGGAGCAACGAAGGGCAAAGTCGATGCTGGGGTGCGGAGGGAGGGGCTCAGATAGGCAGTGGCAGCAGGAAAGCTGAACAGAGCTCCTTGCAGATCTGAGTCTGTTGTAAAAATGGCGCCCAGACTCTCAACCCTAGATGAGGCCGGCGGGCTCCCCTCAGATCCCCAGCGGTTTGTTACAAGGCTCAGGTTTCCCTAAGACTTCTTCCAAGTAAGTTGTTTTATTTTCAGTGTTTCTCTTTCTGAATGCAAGGAAGGAAGCGCAGACATGTTGTAGACCGTTCCACAACAGTGCCTGGAGGAGAGCCTGACTGAGTTTCTAAGTCCGTTGCTAATGAAGATGGTCTTTCTCGAGTACCTAGAGGGCTGTGTCCTCACTGACTCCAGTGGCCCTGAGGGGCCTCACCTGCCTTACAGATGGGCTGCTGGTGACCAAGTTCCCGAAGCACTGAGTGAGCCTTGCTTGGCGTGCACCACCAAATGGTCGTGCACAGGGAGAAGGCCCACGACCCCGCAGCCCTTGGCTGATAGGCAGGGTCTGCGTCGACCTCTTGGATTTCTGTCCGTGCCTCCTGCCTGGCCTGCAGGAGCTTCTCTCCATTCCCATGAGTTCGACTGATGTCACTGGAGAACAAACTCCAGACACGAGAACTGATTTCTATGCGCTGACAGCTGGAACTGCTGAGGGGCTGCCATTTGGCCAAGATAAGCGTGTGGCCCTTGGATGAGGACTTGGTCACTGCCCTCGGGTGCAGAGCCATTAAGACTCCCCTGCACACCGTCCACAGCTCCTGATCTGTAGACTGTTCCTGGATTTCGTGGCTTGGCCTGTGTGGGGTGGGTGCAGGCTCTCCAGCTTCTGGCCAGAGCAATGCAGTCCGGCTCCGCAGGGCGGGCCGCTGGAGGCGTGGTCCCCGTTGACCACAGGGTCTCCTGCCGCGCTGTTGCCTGTGTATTAGGATTCCATCAAGGTAGCTGTTCTTTCCTTGGAGAGTTATGCCTTGTGAAGTTGGGATCCTGCTGTGTATACTATGCCTTGCTGATAAGTGATCGCAGCTTCCTGTGCCAGTGGGTGAGCTGCTTCAGCTTTTATCACGGCAGCTGCTGGACGCACAGCCGGGCACTGTCAGACGTGTTGCCCACCGTCACAGATCTATGTCAGCAGCTTGGGAGAAATGGCTTCTCAAGACAGGAAATGACTGGCAGAAGGAACATGTGTACCATCAGGCCCTTCCTCACATGGTGGCGAGGTGCACTCCGGAGTCCGCACCATGTGGCGCGCCCTGGGCAGCGCGTGGTGCTGGGCCTGTCCCCTAGGCCCGCCCAGCCGTGCTAAATGGGGGAGCACGGAATCACTGCCTGTTCTCAGTTGCTTCCTGGTGGTGGTATTTGGAAAGACTTGAGGAGAAGTGGCCTTCCCCCCTCTTTGTGCACCTGCCGCACCCACCACTTACCCATGCTGGAGTGATGATGACACAGAGAAACTGCTTTGTTTTGTGCAAAGACGGAGAAAAAAAAAAAGCAACCTTATTGCTGTTTTGGGGTTTTCATACCACCCCGGAGGATTGCTGTGGCTTGTGGTCTGTTGTGTGGGTGTGTGTGTGGGGGGGTGCTCTCCATCCACCCCTCCCTCTTTCCCACCCTGCTCTCTGTTCTGGGGGGCTGCCTGCAAGGGATGCGCCTCGGGGGGCATCGTGGGGGGGCACATGCTGGGGGGTGTTGCTGCTCTTGGGTGGGGGCACTAGCTTGCACTCTGTTGGGTCAGTATGGGGGCGCAGAGGAAGGTGAGGCCCTCCAGGGCCCTTAGTCACCAGGAGGAAGTAAGCCAGAGCATTTTTCTTGAACACATGTTACTGATTTGCTTCCTAGTGTGGGAGATGAGGACCCAGGCACGACCTCCCTACACAAGCTATTCTTGTCGTGTCTTCCAATTTCATACATGTTTTCAGTCAAAACTATCATTTCATGTAGTTGAAACTCATTTAAATGTATCCACATGCCTGCCGTTTAAGGAATCTATTCCTTTCTGCATTTCTGAGCTTCTGAAGGGGTCATTTTCCTTTGCCTGAAGAACAGATGCTCTTCAAGTTTTCCATGGGGCATGTCTGCTGGCAATAAGCCCTCTGATTTGTCTGAAAACGTCATTTTTCACCTTCATTCCTAAAGGGCATTGTTGCTGGGTGTAGAACTTAAGTTCCACATTGACTGATTGATTGGTACTTTAAAGATAACTTTGTGTTGTTTTCTCAATTTCTTTCCTGTTTTGTTGAGAACTTACCTATTCCTCGCTGCTC